TAAATTAGACAGTTTAAATTAGACTCACAAAAACGGACAAAACTTTACAAAAAACCCAATATTTCCATCAAAAATTGAATTTTATGTATTTAGTTCACACAAAAATCTTTCAAATACATGATTTATAAAGAGTTTTGACTTGTATTCATCCTTTATTGTAAAGACAATGTCATTAAAATTTGAAAATAAATGAAACCAAAAATGTCTATATCGATTGTAAACTTACATTTTAATATTCTGAAACGTGTTTTCAAAATAATCACACCCACCACTTGTCTTTTTTCGACAATGGCATAAAAAGTCCAATAAAATTCCTTGATTACTCCCAGGAATAAATTAAGGAAAATCTTGACTTTATGATTAGGATGGAATTTACAGTAAAAACTCATTTTACGAGTTATAGCATTTAATTATAATTTCTATATTGTGACGTTTAGTTTTGAGGAAAGTTTTAATTTGCATATATCTCATTTGTTTTGATACAACATATATGTACTCCAACTGTTCAGATACCCATGAACTCAATAGTCGAATACTAAAGGAAACCTCGTCTATAATAATCCAACCTCTTACTATACTGATCAATTTATTCTTATGTACTGGTATATTTCCAGATATCTTCAAGTCTTCTAAAGTAGTAGTAAAAAAGGTGATGAAAAGGCCATTGATAACTACAGACCAATGAGTATTATTTCAATATTCAGTAAAGTGGTTGAAATTATAATTAAAATTCAGCTCTATGCCTACTTTGAGAATAATAAATTTTTCAGCAACTCACAATATGGTTTCAGAAAGTCGCGCTCAACAATAGATGCAGTGTTCGACGTCGTGTCTTGCGTGATAGAGGAACTTGAGCAGGACAATAACATTGCGTTGATGCTTTGTGACCTGTCGAAACCGTTCGACTGCGTCTCACATGAAATTCTATTGGAAAAATTAAACAATTATGGAGTTAGAGGTATTCCGCTTCACTTAATAAGAACCTATCTTACTAATCGTCAACAAGCAGTAATGCTCAATGGTACCTTATCAAACTCTCAAATTATTAAGCATGGCGTTCCGCAAGGGTCTGTTTTGGGCCCGCTCTTATTTGTCATTTATGTGAATGACTTGTACAAACATATGATACCGTTCAAATCGGTTCTCTTTGCGGACGACACCACTTTCATTCTGTCGGATAAAAATATTGATATGTTACAGTCTCATCTCGACGAGGTATCTAATAGTGCTAATCCGTGGTTTCTATCTAATAAGCTGAAACTACATTGTCAGAAAACTCAATACATCCAGATTTCTGCCAATAATCAAATTTTCTCTAATTGTGAATCTAATAAAGTTAAATTACTGGGCATTACATTAGATAATAGACTCAACGGGTCTGCACATATTTCTCAACTGAAGAGAAAACTCTCGGGCTGACTATTTGTTCTTCGCCAATGGAAGTACTTCACTATTGAAAATATATTAAAAACCTCATATTTTTCCCTGTTTCACTGTCATATTAGTTATGGTGTACAACTTTGGGGACATTCATACCGTTCTATTTAAATATTTACGATGCAAAAGAAGGCATTGAGAGTGCTGGCTAATATAGGAAACAGGGATCACTGTCAAGAATATTTCAAAAACCTCAGAATTAGGCCATTGACAACTTTATTTCTCTATTACGCTTTGATTGAAATCCATAAGAAGAAACCATCCTTGGCGAAACAATGTCATATCCACGAACATAACATACGAAACCCTCACCACATTTGAATAAATCGATTTCGTCTTCACTTATCGCACAAAAATTCCATAGATTACTCTGTGTACAATATTTTGCCCCAAGATTTCAAAGAACTCAGTCTAAACACATACAAGAGAAAATTGAAAAATTATTTGTGCTTCTATTGCTTCTATTCTGTCGATGACTTCAGAACACATTTTTGTGGTAAAATACAAGTCACTACTTCTTTTTGATTTTCAAAGTTTTTACATATGTGATTGTTGTGTAAATTTTAACTTGTGAATTTTAAATGTAAAGTCAAACATGACTTGCTACAAACATATTGTATTATGTAACGTAGTCAAATAAATATTATTATCATTATTATTATTATGACACTCTTTTTTATAAAGATACTATTTTTTTTATAGCCCAAAAACGTTTGTCAACGGAAACTGTTTTTCTGGAGGCAAAGAACATATTTCCCTCCCCCATTAGGCAAGCAGACAGCAAAGCCTTATCCCATTCAATTATTATGAATCATTTCAATAGATAGTTAACTTTATGTTACTAAACTATTGAAATGCTTGAATTAGGTGTTTACACAACTGTTTAAATCCGATTTAATAACATGAATCCTCTTTTCCACAGGTTTAGCTTATTTAAACAGATTTGAAAACCTCTGATCAAAATGGTTTTTACACAGGCATTTACATTGATTAGATTTTTTTATGAAAGTTCTTTCGGATATTGATCGGATATATAATATTTACAAAGAATGATTTAGCTGTGAAGCAAGAATTATAATCGTAGTGCAGCTTATTCTTGAAAAGAATGTTTATATTGAATCAACTGCTGAGTTTCATTTGTTGCTTATAGTTACTGCAAGAGTGGGTGGAGATGATTTTGAAGTTTCACCATGCATGATAACTCCTCAAAGACAATATTTAGAAATCTACAAGCTGCGAAGTAAATTTTGATTAATTTTTTTTTGCACATATTTCAGAGTATTTGTTTGTTCTGAAGTGTGAAAAATATGAACTTATTCAAACTTTTCATTCAATTCCTTCTTATTGTAGGAACACTAATTGTTTTGATACTACGTGAACAGTAACATTAAATAAATATTGAATGATATCACAGCATCGATCATAAGAATGGCACACGGTTTCCAAATTGTATTTACCTCGTATATTTCCCTGTCAAGTAAGTTCAACATTTCTGAAGTGAATGAAAAAATGCTAATGTAAAAACAATTTGAAATCAATTCAGTGGTATACTTGAGTCGTAAATGTTCTAATGGAATATAATTTGAAATTTGGAAGAAAGCCCATTGTCAAGCAACCAAGAGTTTATTACATTCTATGGATTTCATATATTTCTTCTACTACTTCTATATACTTCTACTACTTCTATATAAATACTTCTGGGAAGGGGTCTTTAGAAATATGAATACCGCATTCACTAGAACCCAGAAGGTATTTTCCAAAAAACAAATTCCACATCCCAAGCAGGGGGATCAACTCAGAATAATTACTGCCACTCACTAGACAATGTCCATTGAGGGCACCTGAACAATATAGGGCTGTATAACGGAGACCTTTACTGCAGACAATTCAGCAAGGGATCTGATCACAAACATCTAGCAAGGGGACTGTACACAAACTAGTACTGATAACCAGATTGTTGTAATAGGTGTTATTGAGGAGACGTAAGAAAAGATGCAATAAGCCTATGAGGCTGCTTTGTTTTCCGCAGACTTGAAAGGAATGAGCAAGTCAGACGGCTCCAAACAAGAGCAAAAATGTGAGTAAGAGTGGATGTATAATGGAGACCTCAACTGCAGACAATCCAGCAAAGGATCGGATCACAAACACCCAGCAAGGGAACTGTACAAACTAGTACGGGTAACCAGATTGTAATGGATGATATGAAGGAGATGGAAGAAAAGATGCAATAAGCCTATGAGGCTGCTTTGTTTTCCGCAGACTTGAAAGGAATGAGCAAGTCAGACGGCTCCAAACAAGAGCAAAAATGTGAGTAAGAGTGGCTGTATAATGGAGACCTCAACTGCAGACAATCCAGCAAAGGATCGGATCACAAACACCCAGCAAGGGAACTGTACAAACTAGTACGGGTAACCAGATTGTTGTAATGGATGATATGAAGAAGATGGAAGAAAAGATGCAATAAGCCTATGAGGCTGCTTTGTTTTCCGCAGACTTGAAAGGAATGAGCAAGTCAGACGAGGAAGAGCACAAAATGCGAATAAGAGTAATGTAACTTTTTTTATCTCTCCAAAATTCAAACAAATGCAGTCAACTGTTGAACTTCATAACTTATGGAAGCTAATAATCAACAAGAACCATAGTGTGATTCCTTGTACATTTGTCCACAATCTATTAAAAAAAAATACTATTACAATAAACACTTTCATATTTTAAAAATGTTTCATGTTTTTCAATCTAATGAATTTCAATAAAGTAAGAAATGATTTTCCAACGAAACGAGCAAGTATTTGAAAGATTTTTTCAAGAAATAATAAAGAAAATCCATAAGACAACATTTTTGTCAGTCGCTTATTGAACGCTCAAAAAAATTACAAATTAAAAATGTATGCAAGCTGTCTTTCCAAGTGCTGTTTGGTGAAATCCTTTTTGGGGAACGCTACAATAGGGTCATGAAAATATGAACAGTATGATGAATTAAGAAATGAATTATTGAATTTAATAACTTTTTGATAGTTGAAATCCCTTTATTTTGGGACACAAAAAATTCTTTCACATAACTGTCATACGACTATTATGTTCCAATGCAATGCAAGAGTTGATTTATCATCTATTTGACAGATATTTCCTTGCGAATCATTTATTCTACTGAAACTACGCACTCGCAGGAAGGATACCAAAAAGTAGCTAATAATCACATCAAATTCAACTAAGATGCAAAATACATATCTTATCACATAATCAGTAGCTACTTTGACCTGAAAGGAAAAATAGATCCAGGAGTAACGCCAATAGCTTGTTCATCAAACAAGAAAGCTACGAAAGAATTTCTACGCAACAATATAAGCAAAAAAATGTATATTTCATCGAAGTTTTACGCACTAAATATGTGTACGCAAGCGCTCGTCCAAGGAAATGTTCAGTCAAATAGTATTCCAACCATCAATCACTGTAGGGATTGCAACTCTTGCAGAAAGATGTGAAAATGTCGTTTTCCGAAATGTTTTGGTTGGAAAACAACATCGAGATGATTTAGGATCGAATGTAATCACAATAAGACTTACCTTGGCTTCGTCTAAACGACCTAGAGCTTTTAGTAGATTACCCAAATCACTACGAACACAGTAGAGATCCTGCAAGAAAACAAAACTGACCTTCTGGAAGTTTTAATTATAACAATGAAATTGAAAAACAATCTGAGTTCTGGACCAGATTGGTTTCCTTCGTATTTATTGAAAAGGTGTGTTTGTTCTTTGAGTAAACTATTAGTAATTTTATTCAATTTGTCACTAGAAAATCAAATATTTCCTTCTACTTGGCGAAATAATTTTGTCAAGCCAGTTTTCAAAAATAGTTCTAAGGAAGAAATTGGAAACTACAGACCAATAAGCAAACTTTCTGCTATACCATAATTATTTGAACAACTCTTAGTGACTACCATTTCTTTTTATTGTAAAAACTTAATAATTGAACACCACGGTTTTGTAGGTGGTAAATCAACAGTAACTAACCTATGATATTGTCGGTGCACTAGAACAACATGTCAAATTGAGTCGGTTTATACCGACTTCAGTAAAGCTTTTGATAAAATGAACCACAACTTATCAATCAGCAAGTTTTCTGCCGCTGGCTTTCCGTCATGGTTAACAAACTCTCTAAATAGATATCCATATAATAGACATCAGTTACTTAAAATTAAGAATCATGTTCCCAATTCTGTCCTTGTCACATCAGAAGTTCCACAGGAATCACACTTAGGTCCCCTGTTGTTTAATATCTTTATCAATGATATAGATACCATTCTCAGAAATCGTAAATTTTTTCTTTTTGCTGATGATTTAAAATTATATACAAACATCTAAAAACCAACTGATTGTAACAAACTACAAGAAGACCTAAATTCCTTTCGAAAATGGTCTGAATCAAATGGTATGTTGTTACATCCTGACGGCCAAAGTATTACTTTTAGTAGAGCAAATTCCATAATCCAAAATGACTATCATATTGATAATAAGAATATCAAAAGAATATCGGTTGTTTAGGACCTTGGAGTATTATTACATTTGTTCAGCATATAAATTCAGCTGTAAACTAGGTTTTGTTCTTAGAATTACACAGAAATTGTCAATTCTTTCAACAAAAACATATATTCTTGTCTCCAATATGCCTCTCCTGTCTGGAGTCCTTATTACCAAATTCATATTAATCATCTTGAGCCTGTACAAAATGGATTCTTGTGATGTATCGCCTATAAAATGATCTTCCCAGGTCTTGGAGTACATTTCGATTAAAACCTTGAAAACTATTCGAAATCGATCTGATTTAATTTTATTATACAAATTAATTCATGGCATAACATCATGTCCAGAATTGTAGGCACAAATCAGATTTAGATTCCATAAAATATCAACATGAAATTGTGAAGTTTTCATCATTTCCTATTACTATACTAATTATGGCCACAATAGCAGCATATCACGTATTTTGAGATCGGGTAATCTGGTCAATTCAAATGGTGTATGTATAACTGGCGTGAGCTTATATACTTTTAAAAAATCTCTTGATAGAGTGGCTACTCTGTGATACCTTGTCATACATATTAATATCTTTTTATATTTGTGATACCTTGTGATATATATTAGTATCTTTTTATATAATAANCAATACCAAAGAATCACGCGAAGTTTTATCAAGTGTCAGGGTTTTGCTCCCTGCTTTCCTCAATTACCGTAGCATAGTACATCAGGAGTTCTTGTCACATGGTCATACCACAGTAAAAATCAACCAGTAAGTCCACTCCCACTATTTTCATTCATAAATTCACAAAGTTCTCAGTGACCTCGAAACGAAGTGCGGAGCCAATTTCGTTCTTTTACGATAGGCATGCGCTCATATAAAAACGAAATTTAAGGATATTATAGATGATTTTGTGGTACGTTTCCTATAACCAACTACAAAAACTAAAAACAATAATAACAACAGCTACACACAATATCAATTAACGTCCGTTAATTGTAACTAATCCGATGCCCGTGGTACCGTCGAATCCTTCGATACTACAGCACTGAATGCAATGGATGAGAATCTCATCCTAAGAGCAGTTGAAGGTCCCCGGCAACTCGAGCGGATCACGTGGTAAGAGAGCCTACTGGTTGAATTATTCTACTGTGGACGTACGATCATTAAGCAGTATTATCTTGAAGTTATGAGTGGCTTGCAAGAAGCAAGGAAAACGTCCAGTATTCACCGTAATTATGCCTCAGTCACCGTATTTACCAGATTTGGCCGCTTGCGACTTTTTTCTGTTCCCCAGATTGAAGAGACCCATGAATATTACAAGAACACAAAATGTTAACAAATCCAGACAATTTTACAAAGAACACATCTTGTTGAATTTCAAATTTTATAAGAATGATTATCTCTTTTTTAGTTTATATAAATACACAGGTTTGCTTTGGGTTGAGTGGAAGAATAACAGAAAACAATAACAGAAACAACAGAAAATAAACTTCGCCCTTTATTTTCATATGTAAACCTTAAAATCTAATATTTACTGTATTCTTTTCAATGTGGAACTAATGAAGACAATCATTATCATTTTTATTATTTCCATCTATCTCAAAAAAATCTGGACTATAGCTTACTCACTAAAACTACAGACAAGTCCCTAAAACAGGCAAAATCAACAAAATTACCACTTTGCATTCAACTTCAAAGCAATCATTGTCATATGAAGCCTCCTACACTATGAATATTTCTCTACAAGTTTCAGTCCAAATGAAATTTGATACCTTCCTCACTAATTTGTAATAATTTTATTATTTGTAATTTATCAATTGAACAATGTTAATGTGAATCTCTATGATTCAGCAAAAAAAGTATTCAACTACTATCAAAACAAAATATTTCCACAGAAATGTTTGTTATTAGAAATACCGGAATCATAAAGTTTAAAATATGCATATAGAGTTGGAAAAGAATCATACTCACTGGTTTATATTGCAAAGCAGTGATATAAGCTTGAACTGCCTGTTCCATATCCCCTGCTGCCACTAATGCAGCTGCTAAATTGATATAACCATCAATGAAATCTGGTTTCAGTCGCACTGCATGTCTGTAGTTTTCCAGTGCTTCTGGGAGTTGTCCTCTTTCTTTATACACATTTCCAAGGTTGCTGAAATACAAAATGAAATGATTAATTTATACGAAGTAAATTTATGTTCAAAAACTTCAATTTTAATTCAACACTAATTTGTTTATTGTTACTTACACATTATGAAGTTAGTAATTATAATTGCTGAAATTTTCTATGCTAGTATTTAATTTGAACAAAATTGTAACCGCAGGGAGTTTGTAACTATTTTGCATGTAATTTTTGACTGTCCAATTTACAAAACTATGAAACCCTCCAGTATTTTCTTGAAAATTCCAACTCTCTTCTCGTTGCATTGAATTGCCATGAGTAATTAACAATGACTACCCAGAACACGAGGCTAATGTCCAAGCAGTCCATGTCATTGACACCCAAGGAAATAAATGTTTTCCATAAGAAATAAAACATTGAATTAAACTGAATTGAATGCATATGACATCCATTTAGTCATTCTTATTCAGGGTATCACAAAACATGCAAAGCATAATAAATTGAGTGAATTATATAAACTTCAGATACTGGTGCAACTTTCATCATGAGATTATTTCCTACCATAATCACAAATTTTGTTATGTTATTAGCTTAATCTGTTATAAATAACCTTGACAACTGTTTACTTAGCAGACATATCTTCTGAGATTCATTGCCTGAGGCATTTTCCATGTAATTAAACTCAATATTATGTGGATAATGAATCAACACAATTTCATGGTGAATTTTTAATGGAAAACAAATAGATTACAGTTCGGGTTAAAAAGTGTGTCACCTGCAAAGCAGATAAAGAGTTGAATGGATAGTTATTTTGCGGGAATTTCTTTTAGATTTAGTCAGATGGAAAATATTCAATTTATAGTTACATTAACTACCATAAAGGAGACAATAATGCAGATACTCTAATTGACCCTAGTGAAGTCATCATTTTTGTGTAACAATATCCAAAACACTTGTCTTTAACAATTCAAAGAATGGAAATATATTGGAGGGCAGTGAATAATTATTGGCTGTTCTATGTCTATTTTACAAGATAAATACAGTACATTTACTAGAAACAGTCTATTTGGTTCATATTTTCAATAGTTTCTTGAATAATGGATGAAGAGGAAAACATATTTTTTTATGTCGTCCTCTATAGTTATTCAACTATCAAAAATAATTGAATTCTTCACTAAATTTCCATTGAATACTTCCTTCAAAGCAATAAGATGGTACAAAAAATTGAAGGCTTGGTCGCAAATAAAGTTTAACAGCTTTGAAATGTTTCTTTCAAAAAGAGATAAAAGTGACAGCCACAAAATAATTGACATTTTTAGTGGCTCAGCTTATAAAGTTAGCCAATTTTCAACTTGAACTTATGATTCCTAAGCAGTTTACGCCTGCACGTTGTCACATTGTCAAGTTATCTATTACTAGAAATATAAAAAATAAAATAAATCTTATATCATGTTTTTCCATGAACCCTCCCTTTACCAAGTTACATTTTGAAACCTGGGTAAATTCAAATCACAAGTTAAAATGATTCGAATAAATCTACCTTCAATATAGTAGGATTTATAGATTAAGTAATGTGAATATAAGGCAAATGCAAGTCATTCCATAAAAACATAAAGTGCAGATCAACGTGCATAAGTGTCGCTCTGTAAACATATCCATTATATGAAAAATCATTGTTTAATTTTATAGAAAACCCATCACAGCATGGAAATTGTAGCTTCAATAGTTGACAGTTACAACTGTTACAAATTCTATGTAATTTTTTGACTTTATGGTTATTCAAATTAGTTTTTTAAATGCTGCATTGGGTGTATTTCAACAATTCATTTATTATCAACATGTGTGAAATTGAAACAATCTTGAAAGTTTTTTGTTTCAATACTTTTGCAATAATGCTGTGCTGTGTTACTTAATCTATAAATCTCAAAAAGACATTCAAAGGAGCATTTTGAAAGTTATTAAGAATAATGATGGAAATAGTTTCAATACAAAGATATTGCAGCTGTCATAATACACACCATCCATTACTATATTTATGTATCACTTTTCAAATAGTATATCGAAGAGACACATTTCTTTTTTTGAGTGGATCAAAGTAATTGAGATGCATGTGGATCATTTTCTGAATCTTCGTGTTCTTTGTCTTACATAGCTTGACAGAAAATCCCAAAATTGAAATTAAACAATGTTTTTGAACCTACCTGTAAGCTTCAGCAAGAAGAGGGTTTTGTTTTATAGCCAATGTGCTGAATTGCGCTGATTTATCCAATCGACGACATTGAAAATGTATACTGGACAGAAGCAGAAGTACCCCCGTGTTGGTTTGATCTTGCCTCCAGAGTTGCATGCAATGTCTTTCGGCATTTTCATAATCCCCCGCTTGATATTCTCTATGAGCGAGCTCTAATAAACCTAAAAGAATAACTCAAAATGAATTTTCACTAAACACCTCAAGATGGAAAGTACTCACCGACAGTCGACATTGGAATGGAATCGTTCATTTTGACGATAATTTGGCTTCCCAGAGACAATCCAGAGTTATTTGCTAAATTCACTTGACTTTGGGCCTTGGCGGTTTGGTGGCCCTGCATTTCATGAAATCGTAATTTTTTATAGACTACTGATCTCTTAAAATTTTACAAATTACTTTCAGATTTTCAGCATCTTCTCCCATTAACTATGGAGAAAGAAGGAGGAAACAAGAAGAAAATCGATGAACGACGAATGCAAAAAAGTGAGAGAAAGAGATAACGATATGATTGTACCGCAGGAACTATTTCTTTTTGCCACCTCCAGTTGTTTAGTTTATTAATTCATAAATGGAAACTTCCAAAGTGCATGTCATAGATTTTTATAATATTGATGGAGAGTTCCTACTAGAAATTTATTAGCGAATAAATCACCTCATAAATCCTAATATTCAAATAACTTTTCTTACCAAATTTTAGATATTACTCCCTCCTCCCTCTCTTTTTACCAAATAATCACATAACATTATAACTAACATGAACCATATAACATACAACTAGAATAGAGTCAGAGGAGGATAGAATAGAAAGAAATAGAACATCGAAAATTGACATTTGACATGACAGATTAATAGCGTTTTCCATTGCTAAAACCAGTGGTGTACTTGTTTGGCCCGACACAATACGAGTTCAGACAAATTTCAACATTGGTGCTGGTGCACTACCATTGGATCAAATTTCATCAACAACCCTACTATTATAACAAAAACAATCAATATATAATTCAATTGCTACCAAAATAGTGTATATTATCATTAGTTTACATTAATACGACGATTGATATATTGACATAAAATCAGAATAAACAGTTTTATCTTCCTCTTGAAGATGATCACTTGGTGATCGAAACACGTGTCGAGGTGTTCAAAATAACGATTTGGTGTTGGAAAAAACACTCCAGTAATATTCATTACTATAACAAAGGTTCCAAACAGAACATCATAAGTGAAAACCATTGACAATTGAACAAACACTTGTTTCAGTTCTAACTTTAAAATGATACAGGCTACTTTTTATGCAGTTCTACCATTGTCAAAGCTGATAAAGTATCAACTCAAGATTCAGATTGCGCAAGACACTTGGAAAGAAGAGTATATGTGACCAAAATAACTCAAATATTATTAAATTTTACCATATTCTTGTCATGTGTCCAATACAAATTTAAATCAATAAGAATCATATATGTGTGAAGGTATTTCCTCTGTGAGTTAATTATTTCCAACAGAAAATGATACACCTGAATTCATCAATCAGCTAGAACGCTGATTGATGAACTAAGTTAATCATTACTGAAACATATTATCTTGTGTTAGAAGTTTGTATTTCTTACCATTTCAGCTACCATTCCAATTTTTTCAGTACTACTCGATGAAGACGATGAAAATAAGTTAGATTCAACAATTCTCACTGACTTGATTTCAAAATGAACCGACACTCATTTTAACACAGGAGCATAAAATTTGCACTCGCATGACACTGGTTTTACCATTGGAAAATACTACTCTCTCTTCTCTGTCTCATTGTGTTCCTGTCAACCAAAGAATTTCAAATGCAGTTTGGAGTTTGAAATTACAAACTCTTGAATTTTATCCAGTTGAAAATTAAAAGATATTCTGAACCCTTGAATCGTTATCTAAGAAAAATCCTGTAATCTAGATGTTTCTCACGTCTAGAATATTATTACTGAAATAGATGTCAGGAAATCTTTGTAAAAGTTTTCAACTGAAATGGTAATTATTTTATTATCGGACTATTATTTGAATGTTATCCAACTCAAAAGCCCGTGACAAGCTGGACAATACATATATTTAAAAAACGCAGCGGTATTGAAATCAAAGTGATATTACTGTTGAGATATTTATATATTTTATCATTTCTATATTTACATTTTTAGATTTTCCTAAGTCAGACCAAATAATTTTATGTTTTTTATGCCCAACGTGATTTCGCTACTGGTAACGACGTAATGCAGTCCGTGAAACTGAGAATGTTAACTGGCAACGTTGTTTTCTGGTTACCGTGTGTGAACCGAAGTCCGAGGTTTTCTTCGGTTCTAAAATTACATATTCGTTCATTTCTCCATCGACTTTGTGGGGGTTGCATGATCTGTACGTTGCTATCGATATTTTCTTTCTTTTCAAGCGCAATGGCGGCTAACCGTGAAAGAACTTTCATCATGATCAAACCCGATGGTGTCCAAAGAGGTCTCGTCGGAAAAATCATCAAGAAGTTCGAGCAGAAAGGTTTCAAGCTGGTAGCTCTTAAATTCATGTGGGTTAGTACAAATTTACTTCTAAACAGTTGATTTTGCCGCATGAAACAATAACCGGCGTGGCAAGGTCGTCTGATTTATAAAGATTTTTTTTACCTTCCCTTTTTAGTGAAATTAAAGAATGTAGTTGCATGTTTATCTCTGAATTAGTAGGAGTTTTAGAAAGGGTTTTGAAAAATTGAAAGCTTTCAATTTGAGCACAGATCCAAGAACTATTTAGACACTGTCATTACAAGATTTTGTGGGCTATCAAAATATGTAATTAGAAGAAAGTATGTTGCAATATAGTGGAATTAAATGTAACATCATTATCTCCTAAATGGATAGGAAATGAGGGAGTGGTCTGCAGGGTCTCCGGATCTTACTCCATTTGATTTTTTCTTATGAATTCGCATTTATCCAAATAAATTTCAAAAAATTTATTCGAAATATAATCTCAATTACATTTTAATTCATATTTTATCGAACCAACACTGTATTGCAGGATTTTCACTGGACAGATAACAAAACAGCAACACATAATACCTTTCTCCAGCATTCATGAAGACTAAATTATTTAGATCAAAACTAATTGAAAATATAAAAGAAAATTTTACAAACTCATTGTGCTTCAAATAATAACCTATGAGTCATATGATCTACCTATTTAATGAATAATTTTACATGAATAAATTTAAAGAGGTAATAATTTTACATGAGTTGAGGTATAAAACTAATTGAGAATACAATTGATTAAAACATTCGTCAACTAATTATATTGCTTTATTTTAGCCCTCTGAAGAACTTCTCCAGAAACATTACGCTGATTTGTCATCAAAGCCTTTCTTCCCTGGTCTAGTTAAATACATGAGTTCTGGCCCCGTTGTCCCCATGGTCTGGGAGGGATTAAACGTAGTGAAAACCGGTCGTGTTCTTCTTGGAGCAACCAACCCTGCCGACAGCGCCCCCGGAACTATTAGAGGAGACCTCTGCATCCAAGTTGGTCGCAACATCTGTCACGGCTCTGATGCAGTAGAATCGGCAAAGAAAGAAATTGACTTGTGGTTCACTGAAAAGGAACAAATTTCCTGGACGCCAGCGAATGAAAGCTGGGTATATGAAGATTGATTTCTAGCGATTTTATTGTAAGATTAAATTATTTATACCCAGAATAAACCTTAACAGTTTATTATTTCCTTTAATTACCTTGGGCCATTGAAATTCCCCTTGATAGGGAGTTTTTGTCTTTGATGATTTATTACAGGCACCAGAAAAATTAAAACTCCCAAATTTTTGTTTTGTATTACAGAGACCAAGTGAATATTTTATTATTGGATTGATTTATTTGATTTATCGATTGATGATAGTTTATTGAGCTATTGTAATTTTCAAGCATTGGATAATTTATAAAAAAGATCTGAAGCATACTTTTTTTTGAATCTGGAAATTTATAGATTTTGATAATGTTCTATATTACCCTGAAGTGTATGTTATCTACCAAATCACAATTCAGGATTAATACAAACTGGAAAGGTGAACTTGTGATGCACTGTTTGGAACCTTTGGTGTAGTAATGAATATTACTGGGGTTTTTTCCCAACACCAAACTGTAATTTTAACACCTCGACACGTGTTTCGTTTTCTTCAAGAGGAAGATCAGTTTGATCTTCCTCTTGAAGATGATCACTCGTTGATCGAAACATGTGTCGAGGTGTTAAAATAACGGTTTGGCATTGGAAAAGTGAAGTGAAAAATTTCAAGCAGATATCACTCTTTTCATCTATATAAAAAGTAATTGATATTTTCTGGTTGGATGGAAGAGCAATTTCTGCCTTGATTCGTCATGCGCAGACGTTGAATTCTGCCATTTGTTAGGTTAGATTAGTATCCCTTGTACTGAGTAACCTTTCAATAAAAGCATTTATTATTATATGCAATATACATTCAATTAGTTGAATCTGTCCGACGAAAAAACAACTAACCCAGCTAATGCCGCGTAGATGACTGAAGTCAAACCATCCATTTGGAAAAGTCGTCGCATGTAGTATGAATGACCTAATAAAGAGACTGAATTGTACACAAATTTGCCAGACCCAAATTACAGTTTTCCAACAACAGGATGAAGATAAAATTTGACTAAAACTCGCTGTCGGTGAACTTCAAGGTGGGCAATGAAGTGTGGCTCTATCAGCCTAAACGTCAAAAAGGTTTGTGTCCCAAATTGCATACCTAAACCATGGCAAGGACTTTACTTGGTAACCAAAAAGATAAACGATCTGGTGAACAGAATCCAATTGTCACCTAGAAGAAAGTTGTCCACATAGAGCGAATGCGTCCTTACATGGTCATGGTATTTATATACCATCCTTCACAGGGTGGTGTATGAACATCATTCTAATAAAATCTTTCTATGTAGGTTTTCTGTCTAGATCCCCAGTTGAAAAGGAATTTTTCATATACTATTTAGAATATCATTAATTGATGAATGTACATCAAACCCTTTCTTCCATTTTTTACCTATACCATACGAGTTACTATGAAAATTATAAATCGCCATTTTGTGACATCCGCCATATTGGATTTGAAATGGTGGCATTAAATTGATCGGCTATTGTCAAGAGAATCAAACGTATGTGCAAGATTTTTTCTCAATACATTCTGAAAAGGCGACTTGAATGAAAACTTGTTGAAATAAAATCACATAAGAACAATTTATAATCACTTATGGAAAGTTCAGGACTAAGGAGACATTCCTGAACAATGCTTAATGATACAGAATTTCAAGAGGGTGTGGTCAATTGAAACTAGAATGTTTCTCTGAATTAAAGCTGTGTTCTGTTTAGAAAATCTGAAGCCAAGCAAGCAGATGCAGGTTTAATACCACTTGATCAGAGTCAACAGATCGAAATATACTTTAAGAACCCGATTCTATCTAAATGACAATTTGACATTTGTGGTATTAATTGTCATCACAAAAACCGTAACATATAATTGCAACAAAATGTAAACATTTTGTGACAACTATTTAAGAATGGCTAGTGTCAAACAATCCAATATCATGTCAATACGAACGTGTCGTGAATTCTTTCCAGAAGACAGCGATGTGTTGACAAATATGAGTCAAAAATTTCACTGAAAGTTAATAATTTTCCAAAAAATACCAATTTTTTTAAATATGACAACTGACAACAAAAAATCTGATACTATTGTCAATTTCTGAGCTAACTGGCCGCATTTTTTCCTTGCTCTAGGAAATACTGAAGACAAAACAGATGTAACCGAGACAACAGATATGCATTATCAAACGCTTGCCAACCAGCTAAGCAAGCTAATCGAGGTATCAGATTTGTATTAAATGAACACACCAATAGACAAGAAACATTTTGAATTAAAATCCTTAGAAAACCTAAATGCAAACACTTGTTATATGAATTTAACTTGTTTCCTGAAAAAATTGTTTGGCTGCAAGAAGTATCTCTTTTCCTTCCTCAAAGTATTCCCCATGTTCCAAGTATGGAGGAGTAAATTCTCTATAGGCTAGGCATATTCTTCGTTGGATTATATCTTCTCGTAACACTTGATGTTCCCAGTCATATCTAGCTGGCCCATACATAATCAATAGAGATCTTCTAGGCATTGGTATTCTAACAATTGGATGGTTAAAACTTGTTTCAAATGGTTTAACTTCATAACACTTCCCACTCAAATTAAAGTTACCAGACTCAGTCAAGACTGACGGATATGTTTTAACACAGTCTAGATTATAGCGAGAGGGCTTGTCGAGAAAATTCATTGTTAGAATAGAATCAGAGAGCAGATTAACTGTTACAATTCGTTCACCCCATATCCAACAATCGTCAATATGAGGGTCGATAGAAGCTCCTCGTTCTGGGTTATACTCCAGAGAACATTGCTCTATCGTTTTGAATCCTTCCATCATAGGTACCGTCTTAAATTTATCTTGAATGAATTTTGTAGATTCAGGAAATCCATTAAAATTTCCAGGTCTGATTTTTCTTTTCTTGAAATTACATTTAGGTCCAAAATTTTGTTTTCTTCTACCGCTTTGTGATAAGTCCCAAGGGATCATATCAATATCATCAATCAACTTCTTTTCTTCTTGTTCGGAAAGAAAATTAAGGTCAATGTATATTCCTGGGAACTCTATGGGCGTGCCTGTATGATTTGGGTGTTCATTATCCTTTACATTCCATCCAGGATAAGCCCTATTGCATATGGGACAATAAATATAGTAATCACTTTCTCTATTGACAGTATTTTCAACTTTGATATTATACTCTTTTTCACATATCAAACATGTTCTGCGGCCTTTGCAACCGCAAGGCCGTGGCTTATCCATTACAATTGTTTTAGAAACTTGCAGATTCGTCTACAATCTAAGTACAAAACCTACAAAAATATTTCAAGGTTACGAATTTCATATTCTTCTTTTTTTTTATTTTGGTTTGAATTCGAAGTGAATTTAAAGAGACCTTGTCGCTAGGTAGCGCTGCAAACCTCTCAAGGAAAACAAAGAATAATTCTCAAAGTAACATTTTGTAAAATATCTCAAAATTTTTGTAGTAGAAGTATTGTTGAAGGCAATAATCCATGGAAAACTTTGGAATGAAATGCTAGATCTAAAGGAATGAAAGCAATTTTTAGAGATAAATCGCATGTGATATTTGTGTGAGATGTACGATTAGCATGTAAAAAATGTTTTCGTTGAAATTTGCTCCCAATGAACTGATATCCATTTCTTGTATCTTCAAGGACTTAAGTGTGGGGAAAATGTGTGAAATTGCAATGATGTTGCAGGTCAGTTTTATTTCTACAATCTATCGTTATAATAGGCTACGAGTTTCTTTTTTAATTGGGCATGATAGTCAATATATTGACGTTTTGGGATAGGTACAAACCAGAAGACATAATAAAACAGCTTTGTCGCCAAAATGCAATCAACGATATCAAAGAGCTCGCAGTTGATGTGTTGATGAGAGGTTCATGGAATAAGAATTTACAGAATGATCAAAAAATGTAACTTGATAACAAACCGTAAGAGAAAAATATTTCATGACGAATCCCCCAAAGAAGTTTTTAATCTACTGCATACATATTTTTCTTAGTGAACTGAATGACTTGGCTTAAAGAATATATCACATTTCAAGGCATTTTCCTTCAAACATTTTAAATGAGAAAATAAATGTTCTCCAAGCTCCAATGAAGATTATGATCACGAAGTGGAATTCAAATTCGTGAATAAGCTACAGCAACACGATTTAAAAGATAACCTGTTTTATTTTCTCAAAAACAAAACTGTGTTGTAACATTTTTTCTGTCCTAGGCATACATAACATGATTCGTAAAAAAGACTAAGGTCTGTCATTCCTGAAAATCACAACTTCACGTCTTCTCAGTATTTGCTTCCAAGTTCACTTCTGCAGTGTTTGATTTAATAATTCGAAAGGCAAGTATGTTCGGAAGATATTAGTTTTTGGGCTTTCTATTTCTCATCTTTAAACAACAAATATAATGTGGAAAACTTATGAAGGTAGGAAGGAAGTAATTACGTTCTGAATGAACTCTATTCAAAGATGTATGAATCATGATCTTCACATCTTTGTGAAGAGTTCACTTTGATACATTTCCTTCTTCCTCCCTTCCTTCAAAAGTTTACAACATTTTTTGTTTAAAGATGAAGTTTGATTCAATGTTTTCGAAAAGTTCATTCTTGGTCAACAGAGATGATTTCATTTTTGAAATCTAAGATACGATAGTTTAATAGACCTGTAATAGTATAGTTGTTTACTACTCTCATTAAATTTTTCAGCAAACACTGTGATTTTTTATTTGTCCTGGAATACTAGGCATGGGTGGAACTATGCACAGGAAAGCGATACACCAGTATCACGTAGTGTATTATTTAGTGATAGAGTCAATGTGATAATATCTTTCCTTACAAAGACGCCATCTATTGGATCGACAAAAGTATCAATTCACGAATATCAAGGACAAACAAACTTCTCCAGGCTCAAGGGATTAGGCTGTAAGAAAAAATCCTCGACATGGACCGCCGAACGGAATTCGTCCTGTTTTTCACTGAAAATCAACTTCGTAAAACCGGAACTTTTTGGGTTCTGATTTCTACCAATTATTTAATTTCTTACCTGTACTCTCTGGATCATGGTCTAAAATGGGATACTCCGATTTAAAAAATGTACCTCGTGATATGGGTCAAATATAATTCTCAATTTTGATTCACACTTTTTTGAACGGTAGCGTTTTTTCGGGCACCTCAAAAACCATCCAAAATGAGCTTATAGACAGTGTGGCATATATTATTAAGGAAAATATATATGAGCAAGGAGATTGAAAGTGTCATATGTCATATGATATGTCAAAGATGGTAATGTGGTAGAACGTTTCATGGGTTTTCATGATGTTTCATCTGGGCACACAGCTGACGATTTGTTTAAATTTTTAATTCGTACGTGTGACACCTATGATTTTAGGCAAAAGTTAATTGCGCAAACCTATGATGGGGCTGCGGTCATTTAAATGGTTCACACTATTTACGCATTTTCATGCCTATGCCTTAACTTCAGTATTAAGCAAAGCGTGCAACAACAAAAATTTTCACGCCTCCGGCGGGCTCTTCTGTGTGTATATAGTCTATATGACTTTAGCCTCCCCTGTTCTCCAATGCACGACCTGTCACTGCTTACCAATTATTTTCGATGAGGTATTGAAACGTGTGTAAGAAAAAACGGGTTACAAATGAAAGTTATTATTTCTGTTTATTGATGACACAGCATTATAATGTATTTACATTATGGTTATTAATTTTTCTGTATTGCACTAAACATTTATTCAATGTAAATATCTTCAACAGGATAAGCAGTCTCGATAAACTTCTGATAGAACCTCTGGAAGGCACGACTGAAAAATAAAAACGTGTTCGACATTAGAATCCAAACTCATGAACTCATGTATTAACAAAAGTTTGTTACCAACATTAAATTTCATATTTAATATAAGAAGCTGTAAACTAGGTTTCGGAATGTATGGCAGTCTAAATTCTTTCCACAGACTCACCCATAGGTATCTATACAATTTGTTTAATATTACTTTGAAACAAAATTTAACGGTAAACAAAACATACAGACTATATTATGTGAACACTTTCACACATGTTTCAGTAGAACCTAACCTAACCTAACCTAACTCGCTTACCCGACTGCTTCTGCTACCGGCCTAGTGGAATCTTGACCTCGAAAAATATGACAAGCAAACCTTTGTAGAGTGGGGTGTTTCGTAATGAATCCTAGATAGCGATGATCTCGGGGGTGGAAAGCACAGAAGGAAACGTTCTTCAACGAGTAGAAATAATCTATGCAAGGTTCGTTTTGCTGCAAAGAGTGAAAAAATAGTCCTGTACAACTTCAGTATACAGTGTCAGTATGCAGTGTGTCAGTAAACAGTGAGTAAAAAAAATAAAAACTTTTATTATTGACTTTCCACATCTCGTCTTTTGACAGAAATAATGTTTCACGTATTTATAGGTCCACAGATACGCGATTTCTTTTCGCTTATGGCTATAAAGGTGATTTGTCAAATGACTAGGAGATGGCTGAGGATATGTCTCTCAACCATTAAACTCAGGGTAAGATTGCAAATAATACTTCCTCAAAAGCAGAAGTAGTAACACAAATCTTCACAACTTAACATGTTGACTTTATGAAATTCCGGTAGGCACTGTTGTTGGTCCAATAATATGTGGTTGTTGTCTGTGCTCACATTTGTGCAAGATATTGCACAACCTTCAATATCGCCTTCATACGGTATAATCTTTTGTACAAATCAAAATATTGTACAATGATAATGACGGTCTAGGAGTCGCCGTCAAAATGTTGTGCAACCCAAATTGCGCAATAATATTGCACGCCTATAGGCCGCTTAAGGCTTCTTCATCAAAGCACTTATAGTAAGAGAAACGACACCGTAACAAGAACAGACGATAGATTACCAACATATGAGGTAGAGAAAACGAAGCCGCGAATGGATGGGTCAAAAGGAGTATGAAACCTTAGATCGAAGTGGCTAAAAAAGGAATCTGAAATCGACAGCAACTAGTTCAGTGCCTGTGACTGTTAAGGAAGAAAACATTTTGATAATCACAACTACAAGGTCGGTGAGAGACTAGACCTTTGGACTACGGACAAGATGACTTATTGTATCACGGTAAATGTACAGTAGAGATGCTTGATCACCTTTAGGTGATCATTGCCGTCAATAGGATACTGGCATGATTTTGACAAGGGCACTACTGGGTCAATACAGTCACTTGAAAGTTCTTCGAGGGTGCCAGAAAAAGAGAAGAAATCCATTAGATAAAAATGAAGCACTTATAGATTATGAGCGACCGGAAAAGAGTGCACTTATTTTGTAAAGTTTGGCTATGGAGACAGTTTTTAAACGGGCAGATGCTGTATGGTTAATATTGAATTAGATGAAGGATGAGGTAGAGCCAATCAAAACAAGCATCGAGATTAGAAGCAATAGAAGAGAGTGANAATTATTTCAACTTGATATAAGCGCTGTTGCCAATATGTGAATTAGAAACAAATCCCTTTAAAAATTAAAACCAACCTTTGAAACATCAATTTGAATACTTTTCGAAGTGAATTTGAAAAACTCATGAATTAAACTCAACTTTATTTTGTTCAAACTTGCATTTGCTGTAATAACCCAAGTTGAGGAACATTCCCCATTTCGATAACTTTCTTACATTTCGTTTCCTTCTGTCGACCATTCGAAGACCCTGATCAGAAACTTCGAGGGTGCAGGGTTGCAGTTCCGGTTCATTTCCTGTGTTTCCAATAACTCGTCTCACAGCCTGGCATACAACGGATGTGCCCTTATGAGCCAACGTTTCCACAGACCCCATGTATCCTAGAACAGGATATTTCGACATAATTAATTTTCCACTAATTCGGTAGAGATAGTGACACATATTTTCCGAATTGTGAAAAAATATTTTATTTCTGTTAAGGGATTAGGAAATAATATCCTCTTCGCTTTCTATTTCCCGATTAGGTATGTAACTATGTAAAATATTTGAATTTGGTAAAAAAAAGGTTAACCTGCCAGCAGTCATTTGTACAGATTTATAATTCCAGGAATAGAAAAATTGTCAACCTGGCTCCTTCGCCAAAATTAGAAAAACAGTCAACTCCCGTCATTACGTGGGACTTCTTCAGACATATGGGCCATCAAAACAAGTAACGCTCTGGAAACTCCTCGTTTTGTCATCATCGCATTCCAAAGTACTACCACATCTGAAGATAGAATACAGGATATAACAAAATTCACAACTGCCGATATCAATAGTATTCGAGTATACTTGAATTCTGAAGTTTATCCATATCGATATTCATGATCTTGCTCATTATGCTTTTGAGAGTTTCTAACGAAGTTATAATGATACAGATATGAGTGAACCTCTGATGGACATTGGACAATTGAGAGAGAATCCACTATTCATAATCGATTGTTCCCATCAACCGAATGCAATAAAATCATCAACTATTGATATAAAGATTGAGTTTGAGACCAGAAAGACCAAGTTTCCAGACAACACTAAAGTATATGCATTAATTTTGCATGATACAGTTTTAACATACAATGCATTGGATGGTTCAGTTCACAGCAGATATTGACACTCTTTAAATCGTTCTGGACATGGCAAATGTTTGTGAAGGAATTTCTAATTTTAGAACAAATTGTGCTATAAATGATTTGACATGTATTCTTTCTCTAACTATGGCTCTCCAAGTTATATCGAGTAAGTTTTTTCAATTAAATGACAATATTCAATTCAGTAACTCGATTTGGACCTACTTATATGTGGCAACAACCTAATGACAGTCGTTTGTACGGATTTATAGTTCCAGGAATACAAATCAACAGGCAACGTTCAAATGGAATTTTTAACCCTACCCCTTCGCCAAAATTTAAAAAAACGTCCAATTATAGGGTCTTTCACGACGAGCGTTCGTTAGAAATATATGGAGAACGATTCAAAATAAAAGCTTGAAATTTAGTGGTACTGGGTTTTACAAAATGGCCTTCACAACTAAAATATTTTCAACTTCTGGTATCTGGTATCCGTTATACCGGAAGTTGAGGGCAACTTCCTTATTTCAAGTAGAACACCCTATATTTTATTACATTTTTGAATTTCTCAGCACATTTTGGGTCCACTTCGTACAACAATGCATATACCCAAATTTGTTAGTTTTCAACATAAAATCATAACTCATAGACAGTAACAGTTGAAAATTCAAAATTTCACAGAAACACACGTCAAGCATCAAGTCATGAACAGATCCATAGAATTTTCGAAAATAATTTACAGGGTGGTCGAAATTTCCACCTAAANAAACACGATTTTATCCAAAAATAATAGAATAGTGAATGGTTTCCATTTGAAAAAATCGTGTTTCATCAGTTTTTTCAATGTTATGTTTTAGGTGGAAATTTCGACCACACTGTAAATTATTTTCGAAAATTCGATGGACCTGTTCATGACTCGATGCTTGAGGTGTGATTCTGTGAAATTTCACATTTTCAACTGTTACTGTCTATGAGTTATGATTTTTTTGGAGTGGTGCTGTAACTGTCAAATTTTTCAGAAAAAATCAATATATCGAAAAATAACAGATTTAGGTATAAACGTTGTTATACAAAGTGGACCTAAAATGTGCTGAGGAATTCAAAAATTTAATAAATCTTGGGGTGTTCCATTTGTGATAAGGAAGTTACCCTCCACTTCCGGTATAACGGAAAGAGACCCGAAGTTGAAAATATTTTAGTTGAGAAGGCCATTTTGTATAACCCACTACCACAAAATTTCAAGTTTTTGTTCTAAATCATTCTCCATATATTCCTAACGAACGCTCGTCGTGAAAGACCCTGTATATTTCGTTCTAGAAATGGCAAAGTTGTGCATTCTTAATGAAGGATTTTGGAATCAATACTCGCAGTCTTCAACATGTTACTTGTGATAAAATATTGATATGTGGGATAAAAAAATGAAGTCGCCTGCCGTATTCTGCCTGTATTGGTACATATAACTCACAACCATTGAGATATGAATTTTGTTTTATACTAAAAAAACATACCTAGTAAATAGCGCTCTCTCCGCCCATGTTCACAAGATGAATCCCAATCGCTATAATCATAGTCTACCGCATAAGCTGACGGAAATATTCCTAACCTTCCCGTTCGCAAATTAACACCTGTAAAATACAATTTCTGTGATGAAAATAATCAGTATCAACTATATCTGGAAAAAGAAAATCAAAATCATTGTTTTATTAATAGTTCAAGATGGATTAGAATCATACGTCTTTCTTCACATATCTCAACAGATAAATTTATTTTGAGTAGGTATCTACATTTTGTTCACGTCATTAAAGGGTTAAATATATGAATATTTTTACAGGTAGAAATCATTAAATTCGAATGGCCATATGGATCAAGTCAAGACTTACCTCTCAGGTTACATGAGAGGTACGTGTCTTAATGTTCAAGTGAAAACACCTCACCTTCGCCTCGCATGTGAACCTACGACTTTGTAGCAGATACTAGACAAAAAAAACAACTAAACAAGCTTATGCTGCGCAGAAAGCTGAAGTGAAACTATCTGGCATCAGTGCAACGTCTTCGATTCGTCGCAAGTTACTTCCCACTATGGAAAGCAGAAATTAATTTCATTTGGTGGTAGGTACAACCAACCGATAGACCGGTTTCGTAGTACTTGCCCCATCATCAGTACCGGACAGGTCACTTCAGACGGAGTGGATCGTCTGAAGTGAACAAACAAAACTAATTCCAACTATTCATAAACTTCATCTGCAGTTGATTCAGTGGGATGTACACTGCGCCATCTGCAGACAAGCGGTAAGGTGTTTTTCACCTGAACCTGGAGCATGTCATATGCACCAGTCTGGAATATAATTATTATTCCGACTCCAACCCCGGAGTATGAGTTTGTGGAGATATTTCCTAGCTTTGTCTACAGATGGTGCAGTGACAGCCATCTTGATTTCGGACAGGTTGGAGCCTGGCTCCAACCTGACTCTCTGAATCTCGAAACGTTGTTACAGGTGTGCCCCAAGGTAGTGTTTTGGGACCTACACTATTTCTTTTATTTGTTAATGACCTTTCAAAAATTAATCATCCACAGTGCTCTATACAATTTGCTGATGACACATCTTTTACTGTCAGTGGTTCGGAATGTGAAACATTGTGGGTAAGAGCAAATGATGCTGTATCCAACATGCAAAATTATTGTTCTAAGAATGGCTTGATTCTAAATAATCTTAAAACAAACACCATTCTCTTTACAATTCAGGAAACTGATTGTAGTGTATTGGTTAGGTCTGACTGTACATTTGGCCACTATGTTTGGCTCAACATACGTATGTGGAACATCTGTCTCAAAAATGCATTTTCTGAATTCGTTCGAGATTAACGGACGCCCACCTGGAAGACACACTTGAATTTGCTGTTCCTAATTAACGGACGCCCACCTAGAAAACACACTTAAATTTGCTGTTTCTATCGAGAACCAAACTATAAAAAACTGACTCAAGACCGTCGGTGTAGTTCATCACATTACTTTCAGGTCTTTTGTTTCATAATTCAGAATTTTATTTGAAACCAAAATAATACATAGGTAGCACCTAATTATTATCAGTTGTTTTTTCTGGACCTCGTTAAAATTTTCCCATAGTATCCGGACCCCACTCAAAACTACTGGCCGACCCCTGATGTAGAGTGAGAACAGTGATGGTCCCAATATTGAGCCCTGTGGTGTGCCATATTTAATTGTTTTTATAGTTTCTCCTTGTAATCTCTAGGATCATCTTCCTCAGATAATCTTTCGAAAAAAACAGTGGGTTTCCCCTTATTCCAACCTCTTTTAGCCATTTTGTATAACCCACTACCACAAAATTTCAGGTTTTTGTTCTGAATCATTCTCCATATATTCCTAACGAACGCTCGTCGTGAAAGACCCTGTATATTTCGTTCTAGAAATGGCAAAGTTGTTCATTCTTAATGAAGGATTTTGGAATCAATACTCGCAGTCTTCAACATGTTACTTGTGATAACATATTGATATGTGGGATAAAAAAATGAAGTCGCCTGCCGTATACTGCCTGTATTGGTACATATAACTCCCAACCATTGAGATATGAATTTTGTTTTATACTAAAAAAACATACCTAGTAAATAGCGCTCTCTCCGCCCATGTTCACAAGATGAATCCCAATCAATGGGATCTCCTATTTCCACTTCTATTTCATCGTCATGCCTGGGAACAAACTTGTGCAATCCTCGATGAGTAGCTTCCAGCATGTCGACATCGTTATATACCATCCCTCCCACAACGGATGGGGAGACACCCATCACCGGTGACATTGACTTGGGCCCATCCGTCCCGGTGGGCGAATGGGCCGTACTGTGACCGCTGTCCGCATCAGTTAGAAATCTGAAAAAAAAGTATTACAAGTTTCTGCAAAAGTTTTTGAATGAGTTCAATTTTGACGTGAATACGTCTTTGAAATTGTTTCCATAGAGGAATTCAATTCAAAATAGCGAATGATAACAAAATCAGGGGATACAGTTTGGTCTTGTAGCTAATAATAACAATAATATTTATTTGTAGTTCCTTATTTCATATAAATACAATAATTATTTCATTTACAAAACTAAGAAAGACTACAAATGAGGCTAGAAACAACAACATGTACCGGAAGGGTACTGTTGATCTTAGTTCTAGCCTTGAAGAAAAGAAAACTAAACAAAATAAAAAACAAAAAATAGAGAAAAAAAAAGAGGATGTAGAGAGGGATGAGGGAGAGAAAACATGTAAAATGTTCATACTGAACATTTTCCAGTAAGTATAAAATCAGAAGTATAACAGCATTTAAATAAGGAAACTTTACTAACTTTATATTTTTGTGGAATATTATTATACAAACTATATATGGTATATCAATCAATGAATATATGCTTTATTGTCAGAAGATTAGTATCTTATTGACAAAGTTTTTTTAAAAACAAACTAAATGCATGTCATAAAATATAAAAAATTCAAAATACAATACATGATATGAAATATAAAAATACAAACATCGCAATTTCACGAATAAAACATTAAAAAGACAGATGAGTTTAGGTGAACATTGAAAACTCAATTACAACTCAACTCAACTCAACTTACAGCTTATCATGGTAGAATTCATGGAACGAAAAATACCCTTTTTTGATTGAAAGATCTTTAACTGTACTTCAGAACTTTATGATATCTGTGCTATTTTTCTAAATGGTAGGAAGGGGATTATATACTTTAATACTTTCATAAATCAGATAATGCTGAGTCAAGGTGACTTTTGGAATAGGTAAGCATATGGTTCTGTCTGGTGTTGTGACAATTTGTTGTGTACATGCTAGTTTTATTTTTATGAAATGAGCATACCGTTTCCATTATGTATGAACAGTGTTAGAAATTACACGATGAAAGGTAAGACCTCGTTAGTCCTTAGCTCGCACAAGTTTCTCAACTTCTAAGGAGTTGTCGTTCGTATGGGGGCGACAGCAGATTAACGGAAAACAGATTTTGAAACAGATTTTTTTTAAAAGCAGGTGACGGTTAATATTTTGTGGCTGATGAATAAAGGCTTGCAGTGATCTCTCGGCTTAGACTTTGTATGGTATCTCAAAGACCTCTTCTGTAGCACAAGTATTGTATTCTGTAACTGTAAATCACAATGGCCCAGAAAGCTATTCCATAGCGAATATGAGATTCGATCAATGTAAAGTAAGCCATTCTAGCTGTAGTGTACCCTAGTTCATTTGATATCACTCTAATAGCATAACATCCACTAGATACTTTTTTACTTAAATGGAATACATGTTCTTTAACTCATTGTCTATGTGAATGCCTAGGAATTTAATATGCTGTTTGTTTTTTATGTAGTGGTTATCCAAATATAAATCGTCTAGTACATTTGAAAGTAACTAGTTTTGTTTAGGTTGAAGCACAAGGAGTTCGCGTTACACCAGGCTTGAATTTTTTGAATATCTATTTTTATCATATTTGATAGCTGATCAATTTCTTTATTACTCTATGGTGTCGTCCGTGGTATCGTCGGCAAACACAGTAAATTGTTCTGCGATGTTAAAGGTTATTAGGTCATTTAAGTATATTAAAAACAACATCAGTCCTAAAACAGACCCCTGAGGTACTCCATGTTTTATGTCACTGAGATCAGACTGTCCACTTGATGTTTTCACCACCTGTCGACGTCCTGTCAAATATGAACCAAACCAAGTCAAATTTGTTCCTCTTATCCCATAATGGCTGAGCTTATGCGGCAGTGTTTTATGATCAACGCAATCGAAAGCTTTCGAGAAATCACAAAACACTGCTGCAACAGCCTTGCCATTCAAGAGTATGCATTTTCTAGAAAGGAGAAAATGGCATCTGTGGTAATTTTCGAACTTTGAAAGCCGAACTGAAGGGTAGATAGCACACTGTTTATCGATGAGAAGGACATTAGTATTTTTTTCACCAATCTTTCGATAATTTTTGAAAGGGTCGATAATAAAGAAATTGGCCTGAAATTTGAGGGGTCTTCCAGATCTCCGCTCTTGTAATGTAATGAAATAACCATGGACTAACCCTGGCCATTTTCAGACATGTGGGAAATATACCATAACTGAATGATTTATTAAAGCATTCAACCATAACATGTAATGCACTTAGAGGTAGATTTTCAAATATTTTTACAGACATTTTATATAGCTGAAGGATCGTCGATATAAAGTGGTTCGATGAGGTGGAGGGGAAAGTAACCCTTTAAACCTCAAATTAAAAGTATGTACATCGCTGCATATCTATCATTTTCATCCAGATTTTAATTACATCACTAGATAGTTGGAGGTTCAAACAATTCCTTACGCCAAGTGGAGACACCGCCATTTTGCGGTGTTTTGAAATTTCTATTTAGTATATTTTTCGACTCGGAGAAGCTATGCCGTTCGTTCAAGTTTTAATCGTCAGCTCTCTTCACAAGCTATCGATTGTGTTGGAAAGGACATGTCAAAAGCAATCGAACGATACCAATAAAACATCATTTGACCGTGTGAAGCAGTGCCGAGAACGAGAAAAAATGAATGCGGCCATCCCATATATTTTGGCATCAAATTGTTTGCATAGTTTTCTAAAAAAAAGTGTAATCCCAAGTATGACAAAGGTAGAAGAAGGTTTGAAATTCTGTTAGTTTACTGTAACGCATAATATTTTGTGAAAAACTGGAATTCAGTGATTGTATTGTATTTTAAGTCAGAGAAATTTTTACAAGCTTTTCATAAAAGTTCGAGAAGATGTGAAAGATGACGCTGGCACATCAACAACAGATGAAAAGTATGTATGTCTCTATCCCGTCTAAAAAGAAGGTGTAATTTAAATGAAAATACTTCTCTAATATATGCCTTCTATCAATTACATTGAAACTGATGTCCTCTTCAAATTAACACACTACACACAGAAGTACAGCGATACAATATGTAAGTTTGGGTGTACGCAATAATGGAGTATTATTTTTACCAACAAATCGGCACTTACCTATCAGATTCAGGAGAGTCGTCCCAAAGATATCCGCATTTCAATACTAAAATTGAGCTTGGTCCACTGCTGGTACTCCCCAGCTCGTCAGCCAAAGATATCTCCCTGGAGAAGGGTTGTTGTGGATTATACATGGTCACTACAGTAGCTGAAAGAAAATTTTCAGTTACATCTAGTGGACTTGAAAAAGAAATCATAGTGAAATCAAAAGGATTAGCAGAGAGGCAACTCTTTTCCTGATTGTGGTTCCAGTTGCAGTGGTTATGAACTTTGAGGAACCACTATAGTAATGAAGGTCGTTTTATAGAGAATACTATTCGAGCGGAAGGTCTCAAGACCTCCCTTTCTATTAAAAAAAAATTATAGAACCCTCTTTGTGATATCACAACACTGGATTTTTTGTCAAAAAGTTCTGAAAATTATTCATTTTCATACAAGTTTTGTCCGACTTCAATATCTTACCCCATTCAAAAGTTAGCAGGGGAGTACTGTAATTTGTGAAGAAGCCCATTTTTGTGATCCGGACTGGAAATTGTTTTATAAATGAGTGAAAAATAAGCTAAATGATTTTATAGATTTTCTTAAGATATTTCCACCCCTTACGATCTGATAAATTGAAATGGAGAACTCCATGCAAGTATAGAAAGGGTAAATTTTCTACTTTACTCAAAAATATATCGATATCATCCAATGAGTAAAATATCTAATATACGAACAATAGGATCATAAATGAGAAATTTACGAGAAATGATGATAACAAATTCAAAAAAATTGAAATAAGATATTTGAACATTCCATGACATTGAAGATATAACGATGTTTGATTAAGATATTCTTAAATACTAATTTTGATTTCTTGTACACCATTTTCATCATAAATTGAAGTGATATCATCAGCAAACATTCGTGATTTCACCAAATAAATTCACTGTAACCAAAGAATTGAAATATATAAGGAACAGAGTAGGTCTCAGTGTTGATCCTTGTAGTTCCAAACGTATTATTATTTTTTTAACTAATTACGTTGCCTATATCGATATATTGTTTTCTATTCGATGAATAATTTTGAAAACAAATGAAAACTAAACCTCGGATTCAAATTGAAAGATTAATTTTTGGGAAAGAAAGGTTTTGACTTTCTACTTCTCCATCTTTATACAAAAAAATGTAGGAATCTTCCAAAGAGTGGAAGATCCCCACATTCTCAAGTAGAAAGCCTAAACTGTTCTGTTCCATAAACCTTGAATATCATGCCTTTTTAGAATGCATAATGCTTTCTTTAGGTCTAATGAAAAAACTCCGTATTCCTCATCACATAATAATTTCAACTTTGTAAACTATTCAAACAATATAGAATGTGCTCGCTTCTCAATAATTGACCGTTAATTGATAAAGATCCATAGCAATTTCACAAACTACACCTAACGATTTAATCTTCACAGGCTTTATGTTCCGCTATTATAGTAGCTCAATCATAATTACTCAGATTATATATTATTTCTACATCTACTCAACTTTTATATACCTCAGGTACATACTCAATTATAATCACCTAGATCATACATTACTTCTACATCAATAATAATATGTCTATAAAGACTACGATAACATCGGTTTCTAAGAAAACAAATCAGTAACGGTGATCTATCTAAATCCAGTTGGTCATTCAGTAAAATGTTTGAATTTTTGAATTTAATAATTTCTATTGTTTCCAAATGATTTAGCTTTAAACCTATTTTCTTTGTGCAAAATTTCGAAATCTCCGTTCAAGATATGGCTCTCTTCTTAAAGATGATTTGAATATGTTGAACTTGTTTTCTTATCTACATAGCTCATATGATGTTCCTGGATGCGGTTCCTGAACAAGGACAAGTTCCACAATTTAATTTATATACTCCTGATTTCTCAAACTTGAATGATTTGTCTTCATTATTTTTGACTCTCTTTCCCCAACGTATTACCTATTCTATACGCAATTTTTATATCTTGTTTGTTCAAAAATGAAGCCACTTTTTCTGTTGTTTGTCCAAAATATGTTAAGACTCAGTAATTTTGGAAAAACGTCCCGAATTGATTTTGCGTCGATTTTTTTAGAAAGTAATTTGTCTATTAATTCAGCTTTGAAGCCATTGTTTTTTATTGAAATTATCTATTGCTATCATGCTATTATAAGATCTTATTTTGTGTTAATACGGATGGGTAGAATTGCAATGAATAGTAATATCCGTATGGAAAGGTTTGTGATAAATTTGAAAAATAACATTTGTTGTTCATTCTACTAATTGACAAGTCTAAGAAACTTTATTCACTTAGGTAAAACTGGTGAAACTGAAATTGTCCTATAATTTGTCAACTAATGACTCATGCATTGACGTTATTAAAACAAAAATTGAGTCTTGTTTTCTATGACAAAATATACAAATTTTAAAGGTTTAGTGTTTTAGAAAGACTCACTTGTCTGAACCAAACCACCTCACCGAGTGCACTGAACATTCTGATTTAAATTATTCAGGGATATTTCTACCTCGATGCAATTTAAATCATCTCATCTCTAATCTAATATGAAGCAACCTTCGTGAAAACAGATTAATGAGAAAAGTAATCGCTTCACCTTGCACTCCACCGCAAAAATCAATCAACCCCCCCGACCTGGGCCATAAATGCCAAACCGAATAAATACATGAAGGTACATACATTTTTTATTCTTGGGTATTTCTGGCAGTTTCCTCCGCCTCCTCTCGCCAGCCCACGGTAAAGGGGTGCTAAGGGATGGGGGATCTGATTTCTTTCCGCCCAGCGAAGGGGGCCCGCTCTGGTCCAGGCCATCCCCGATAATATCACAGTCTGTTTCTAGGTCGCTCTTGGAAGAAGTTGGGGAGTCTTCGTCAACAAGAACATCGTGTACTAAGCTGGAAAGAAAGCGATGCCATTTTTGAGTTTTATGGAGAGCCTGGACGGTGGTGACTTTTAGCTACTAGTGTATGTTTCATACTTACGAATAAAAGGGTGCAGCAGTTTTCGCGTGTGAAGGTAATTTATCGAAACTGTGTCTGAATTCTTCGAACTCCGAGTCGGCCATATTTGTTTTCACCCCCGGACTATCGATTGTCGTCTGTGGCGTCGATTCGGCGCGTCGGCGTCGGTCTATTATGCTGGTGGAGACGTTAAAGCAACCCCATTTCAGGAATATGATGGATATGGCTATTAGGAATTGGAACACTTCGATGAATACTGCTTGATTGTCGTAAAATCCATTAGGAGTTTATTGTTATTTGTTTAACGGTTTCGAGAGTTGATTTTTTTATAGTGTGAGCGGGTTTGAATACCTCACATTCCAACTTGGAGCACCCAAATTCCTTATGACACCGCACTCGACTGATGGCATGGCATCTGAATATGAACTGAAACGGCAGCCGAACATAGACGGGGCTGATGGGCAGGGCTTGTAGTGTCGGAAAGGAACAAAAACTTGGCCGAATTATCGATATTCAGAAAGGGCACTGAATCAATGCAAAGAAAAAGAATTTTAGAACTTTAAGATAATCTTCAACTGTTACGTGATTTTTGACTTTTCTTAGTAAGCGATTGAACAGTTTCGGTGTATGCACCAACTAATATCTCAGTAGAGCCGAGTGTGGGTCTTATTATTATTATTAGACAAGAAAATGCATGAAAGGGCGCCACGTGATTAACAACAAAATGAAACATATTCCTCTCTTAAAGCTGAAATCACTGAATTCAATTGGCTTACTTGCCAAACTGTAGGTTAGGCAAAAATAAAAAATAGGTGAATTGTATAAATAGGTCTCTATAAAATTGAACTCAGAATTGACTGTCAAAATGGGTGTACCAAAAGGGACTATTCTGGGGCCACTTCTTTTTTTGGTTTATATGAATAATATAGTTCAAATACGAGACTTGTCGTTCAACATAATATGCTACGCCGATGACACAGTTCTGATATTCACAGGCACAAGATGGGAAGGAATAAAATCAACCGCAGAAGCAGATCTAAGAAATTTGCAAATTTGGCTGGACCACAACCTACTCACCCTAAACGTCTCTAAAACTAAATTCATACCTTTTACACCTACGGTTAATACACAACCCACTACAGATTATTCTATAAACCTTCACAAAACAACTTGCGCGGACACAAATACATGTACCTGCCCAGAAATAGATCGAGTATCATCAATAAAATACCTAGGAGTGACTCTGGATCAGCACATTCGCTGGACCGACCACATCTCGAATTTAAATAAACGACTGAGAGCATTACTGCACAGATTTTACACTTTAAGAGATATCCTCTCACGCCAAAACCTACTAATGCTTTATTTATACTTCCTTAGTAGAATCCATTCTAAGATACAGTTTTATAATATGGGGAGGAGCCTTCGTTAACAACTTACGTCCTATACATGTCATACAAAATTCCATCATAAAAATCATATTCAGAAAAAAGAAACAGTATTCCACAAAATCACTATATGAAGAAACAAAAATGTTATCAATCAGTCTTTTGTATGTTCATCAATTATAATTCAAGTATAATTCGAGTTCACACAACTGAATACTCACTTCGAAGCAGATTTGTCCAACCAACCAGACAAACTAGTAATGAAGAATTAGCAATACATACATTTAGAAAAGCTANGAAATTCGCCGATTTGGAATTAAAATAGTGGAGAATCTGTTAATAACGATACGTATTCATCCAATCTATCTAAATCTACCCAGTCACTGTTCCGTCGACCAAAACATACGATGCGGTTTTTTCCGTAGCTACTTTTTTCCATAAGATTCGCAAACCCAGGCCACAATTGAAATCGTTCATTTTAACCGGAGAACGAAATAAATGAATTGGCATGTGTGAGGATATTTAATATACCTACAATGTGTTCTTTCGCGGCGCTAGTAGTTTAAAACCTTTTAGAATTTTAATAAAACCACGTTATACAATTATAAATAAAAAGTATTTCAGTTATTATCTTCAACCCTCTGGATAATATAAATGATTCAATAATTGAGCATATTTATCTCTTTGATATTCTTTGAGAGCATTTTTTGTGAATGAATCAATTTTTTTTGGAGGAATCAATACTTCTTCCTGTTTTTTTGTGTATATACAGTATCATCCCCAAAGAATGCACCATATAAGAAACTTATTTTTAATTAGGGGTTCTTCGACAAAAATGTATTTCTGATAAAAGTTTGTGCATCCCCTAAAACTAAACCATGCACCAACAAAATACAGTAAAACCCATGTAATATACGAGGAACATTCAAATATTTGATTTTGAGACAAGAGTAAAGTATACTTTACTGTGAGATTTTCACCAAAAGATTTTACAAAAACGCAACACGAGTTTCGCCATACAACGGCTTCTTCAGGTGTGTCTTTACTCTTTGTAGGTTAGTTATTGATTTCAAGTATCGGCCAATTCCATCATATATCATGTAGTTTTAATTTGTTAGTTACTCTTGTTTAGATCTTCCAAATGAATGTAAAGTAGGAGAATCTTGCAGGTTAAGTTAGAATAAGGTAGGCTGAGTTAGTATGATTAGGGTATCCAAGTATTTATTAATAGTAGGATAAAATTTCAAGTGGTAGAGTCGGACTTAACTAGGTTATACGTAGTGGGCTACTGAACTTCGCCATTTAGGGTTGCAATTATGTGTCAATAGGATGTAAATAGCTATTTATGATATGAGTGTCAAAAGTAAGGTTTTATTTTGTGAGTGGAAAAGTTTGTGAAACGAGTGTAGCGAGTTGAGCAATTTCACGAACAAAATAAAACTTACTTTTAAGACAAATATCATACAAAGTATTTTGTACAACTATCCTGTTTTCATAATGAAATAGATGAATTTTATATTTCTGTAAAAACACATGTTGACATCTGTCAGTTAATTATTTTCGTGTTATCGCATTTGCTGTGAAGTGGCCGTGTCAGGTGAGGCCGAATCATCTGGTTACCAACAAACAGTATTGTTTACAACTCACGCGTTTTGTTTGAAGTGACAGTTAAAGTTCTTATTGCATAATGAAGAACAATAGTGAGGAATTGTGCTTCAATTGAATTGTTACCAAAAAAATCGGCTCAGCAGTACGACATCGCATATTCTAATTTTCTTAGCTGGTATAGATTTAAAAACATCGAAGGAAATTTCAGCAAAACCGTCTTCTTAGCCTATCTAGAAGAGAAATAAAAAATATAGAACTCGTCAACTCTGTGGAGCAACTTTTCAATGATAAAGTCGAGTGCGCTGGTTAAAAATGGTGTTGATACAAGCAAATACTTCAAGGTAATAGCATTTTAAAAGCGGAAAAATGAAAGTTTTAGGTCCGAAAAATCAAAAACTCTTACGTTTGAACAAGTCCAGAGGTTTATAAATGAGACGCCAGATGAAAAATATTTGATGATAAAAGTTGACACTATTTTCGAAATATATGGAGCCTGCTGGCGTGAAAAGCTGTGCTATTTATTAATAGAAGACATCAAATTGATAGATAAATCTTGATTTTGCAAATTTCAAATACAAAAACGAAAATAGGTCGTTCTTTTTGCATTGTTGGAAAAAACATTGACTATTTTAATTAATACGTTGCATTACGCCCTTCTGTTATCAATCATCAACTTTCTTTTTCTGAAATACTCAAATTATAGATGATGTGCCAACCCAGTTGGTATAAACACGTTTGGGAAAATGCCTTCTACAATTGCTGAGTTTCTGAACCTCCCGGAACCAAAAGAATATACAGGTCACTGTTTCAGAAGGTCTGCTTCTTTGCTAGCAGAATCAGGAGCAAATATAATGGATATCAATAAGCACGGAGGATGGAAGTCTACAACAGTAGCTGAAGGTTACATTGATCAATATATTTCTTACAAAAAGGCTATTACTGAAAGAATAATCCCAACAGCTAGCTCCAGAGTTACAGCATCGTCCTCTTTGCTTCAAGAATTAAATGTTAATGCCCATGAAATTGAAAACTCAGATAGTTCAAATATATCACAAGGCTCTTCAACAGCGCGAGGTAATAATATTAGCAGTTGTTCTAATTGTACTTTTCAAATTAATGTTCATAAATAATGATAATGTAATTAATGTATAAGTATAATACATTTGTAACCGAATTAAATTGTATTTATACTCCTATCTATTGTTCATAATAAAACTTCGTTGAAAATTGAATAATTATGTTTTGTTTACTGCTATTTGGTAGAAAAAAATCGTGTTAGGGATAATTTCAACACCAGTGTTTGTAAACATCATCTTTCAATACTACAGACAACCATTAAAAATGTCACTTTCAATGACAGTTGTACAAAAACAGAATTGTTCCGTTTTCCATGTTATTCTAATAAAGACATATTATTATTATTATTACTGTAAGATTGAAAAAAACGCTGGCACAAGTGTGTTATATCTACTTTGGAGAAACAAAAAAAGAAATTGACGAATAAATGAATAATTTTTGAGAAACATTGAAATTTTGAGTTTTTCAACCATTCTATAGCACTAAAACAGAAAGAAATAAAATGCAAAATTACTATTAGTTCTCAAATCGATGTGAACTTCTGTTTGCATCGTCTACAAATTACAACCCTGCGCATTTTATGTTAAGCTTCACTTACCATCTTTGTGTTTGTCAAATGTTTGAGGAAGGATTTCAATCCGTCTTTTACGTCATTCTAACTCACTTAAGCGTAAAATCGACGCAGATTTTGCATTCAATGGAAGACATGATACAAGATGTTATATTAGATTATCCGCTTTCTGAAGTGTATTATAATTTGGTCCATTGTTTAGATAAAGCGATCTGCTTCTCAGCTTCGCTCTAGCTTGATGTTCGACCCAATTATATTATGTCGGATACGATAGGTTTCGAATTGTTTTGAATGAAGAGGGTGGCAAATGATCCCGAACGACAGTCGAGAATGACAAATGTTTTGCAAATGAAGTTTCTGAACTTGATTAACTGTTAGCAGTCTCATTATAGAAGCAGCCACAAAAACTCCTTTTGCTGGGTGTTTAGCCGTACCTTCAATTACTTACGCAGGTTGCCAACAGACTAGAACAGACTGTTCTAGAATCATTAGAACTGTTTTTGAGTGATTTACTATAGTTGAATAGTACAAAATTGACCCTTCTAGAAGTTATTCAAATGATAGATTATTGGTACATCAGTAAAATTGTTCCAAAAATGACTGATTTTTCGGGTCCATAAAAAAATAAAACTGGGGATGTGGTTTCCAGAATGGATTAAAATAACTGTAACCGCCGTTTCGTACAGCTTAAGAAGTGACAATGAAAAAATGTTTCTCATTGTCACTTCTATCACTCCTAATATGTAGGAAAAAATTAAGGAGCATATCTAGCAGATTCAAACTCTATACG